TGAAGCACAAAGAGGTTAACTGCTTTGCCCCTCGCTGGCCTCAGTCTCCCCATCAGAGGATGGGTATGTGGACAGGATGTTGCCCAGGCTGATATCTTAAAGCTCTGATTTGCCCTCTGCCTGGGCATGGGGAGCAGGTGCTGGCATTCAAAGCTGCCGTGGTCAGGAATAGGAAGTGGCTTAGAGTAGTGCAGGGGGCCTGGAAGTGCTGCCAGCACACTGCTCTCCCGGAGAGATGGTCTGCCATTGCACGAGGGGGTGAGACGTGGTCTGCCATCGCACGAGGGGGTGAGACGTGGTCTGCCATCGCACGAGGGGGTGAGACGTGGTCTGCCATCGCACGAGGGGGTGAGACGTGGTCTGCCATCGAACGAGGGGGTGAGACGTGGTCTGCCATCGCACGAGGGGGTGAGACGTGGTCTGCCATCGCACGAGGGGGTGAGACGTGGTCTGCCATCGCACGAGGGGGTGAGACGTGGTCTGCCATCGCACGAGGGGGTGAGACGTGGTCTGCCATTGCACGAGGGGGTGAGAGAGATGTGTCTGCCATTGCACGAGGCGGTGAAACGTGGTCTGCCATTGCATGAGGGGGTGAGATGTTATCTGCCATCACACAAAGGGAGTCGTGGTCTTCCATCGCATGAGGCGATGAGCCCCCGGCGCCTTGGGAAGAACCCTAGCCAAATTCAGAGCCCCTGTCTGCCTGCCGCCGACCTGCCTCTGTGTGGGTCTCTGTTTCATCCCCATGGCCAAGGCCACGCCATACTAGGCCCCGCTGTTTTCTCAGGGGCCTGTCTACAGCCTGGCCTCCCTGCCTGCGTCCTGGGCCTCCTTTCCCTTTGACCTTCTCATAAATCATCGTCCCCCCATCTCATGACTGAGTTCTTAGCCTGGCTTTCAGAGCTGGCCACAACCCAGCTGTGGCAATATTTCTCTGTTTCCTCTTCCCTCTCCGCTGAACCCTGTCCTCCCGACTTGCCTAAATGATTTCTTCCTCCCAGAATATTCTTTCCTCCCCAAACCTTCCACCTCCTGCATCTCTTGAAATCATTGTCTACCTTTGAGATGCTTCGATGCTCCTTCCTCTATGCAGCCGTCCCTGCCCGGTGTGAACAAGTCACTCCCCTTGAGAGCAGATCTCTGCCTTGTCGCCATCACCAGGCCGACCTCTAGGGCAGAGCCCCCCGTCTGACTCCTCACTGCCCCTTGGTCAGGCACTGGGAAGGTGTACGAGTGAAGTTGGAATGGGGGGCACACCTGAGCAGGACACCCAGGGCTGGAGAGTGGGTCACTGCTCCAGGGAGGGGTGGTGAGCCAGGAGGAGCAGGACTTTGACATGGGACAGGTTCAAGCCTCCGCCCCAAATGTCCTCTCTCCCCTCAGAGCCTCTGCCTCCCCTCTGTGTAATGAGAACAGCACAGCTCATTTCTGAGGTCGTGCAGGAGCTTGCGCTGAGGAATGGCACACCCCTGTTCCCCAATCTGAGAAATGGGCACTGTCTCACCAGTCTCCAAACCTTGAGTCTTGGAGACAGGTGTAGGGACTTGAGTCTAGGGCCTGCCTGTGCAAGAAGTGGAGAAAAAGGTGTCCTGGTGATAAACCTGCCAGATTGAAAAAGGATGCGTTGTGTTCCCCTCCCCATCCCTCAATGGCAAGAGCCTGTGGCCAGAGAGGGCAGGGGCTTGCCTGGGCTCATGCAGCACAGCGAGGCAGAGGTGGTTTCAGTAAGCTGATCAAGTCCCATTTTGTTAGGTTGTCTCCCCTGTGGGGAGTGAGCGAGTACACAGTCCCCACCCCACCCCGATGAGAGAAAGTGTCCTGCACCGAGATGCCCAGCTGCATCTGCCCACTTTCAGCACTTTCTCTGCAGGACCTGGCCTGGGTCTGCCCTCTGCCCAACGAAGTCTCCACCTCCAAGTATGGCCAGGTCCTCAGCTTCTTCCTGTCTTGCCCAAGGCTGGCAGGAACACCTGAGCTAGAACATCCTTTAAGATGCTCCTCTCCCTTGGCCACCTGCTTACAGGTGCTGCTTACTACAGCGGCTTCTGCTGGCTATGCTCCCTCCTGCTCACAGCACCCTGGGCAGGACCTGATTCCCAGATGAGGAACAGCCGCAGGGTCAGGCCTCTGACTCAGTCAGGGTCACAGAGAGTCAGGCCTACAGCCAGCACAGCCCTCACATGTACCGCCGGGGGACATCACAGCTGCAGGACCACCATTCCCCCAGGACCAGCCAGAGACCCCATGCCCTGTATACCCCTGACCCTGCCCGTCAGGCCTTCTGTGTCTCCCAGCAGGGCAGAGGCCTGGTGGGATTTATGTTAGAAAGATCACTCAGCAGCCGGGCGGAGAATGGACGCAGAAATGATAAGGGAAGGAGAGGGGAGGGGAGGGGAGAAGAAAGACAGGATTTCCTAGCCCTGGTGCCAGCTCGCCTGGTGGTAGCTGGAATGACTCACTGTGCCTGGCTGCCTTGGCTCTGGCGCCAGCACCCAGGAGCCCAGAGCTCTGGGTGGCCCAGAGGCGGGGAGCCTGAGGTGGCCCTGAGCCTGGCCCTCCCTCCACAGCACATTCTCCCTCCCCATCCTGCCATCCATTCCTCAGCACATGACGCGTCGGAGAGACAGGGGCCTGGGAGGTCACAGTACACCCACGAAAAGGCAGAGACACACTCTAAGCATCTTATTAGATGGTGACTTAGGAGCAGATAGAGGATGGGGTGTGAGACAGAAGGGGATAAATACATTAACAAAATCAAAAACACAAATAACCAGGCAGCCACCAAATGAAATTTCTGCCCTTTCCAGGTCCCTCTGGCTTCTCACCTTCCCTGCTGTGGCTCAAGCCAGGAAACTTCAGTCCTGGGTCACTGCATCAGCATCTGACCCTTAGTCTTGCCCCTGGCTCCCCTGTGCCCCAGTAAGTGCCAATGCCCCCCTTCCTGTCATCCCCAGCCCTGCAGAGCTGGTCCTCCCAGCTTCCCCCCCCAGGCTCTGCCCACCCAGTGCCCTCCTACCTTTTCTGTCTCCCTGCACCTATCCTTCAGGCCCTGCTCAGGCTCCATCTCGGAGGGCCACCACCATTCCCCTGGCCCCCTCCTTGTCAGCCAGCGACAGCTGGAATTTACTGTATCCCCTGAATGATGAAGCCCTAGCTGTTCAGCCCTTCCCTGTTCATATGGTAAAGGGTGGCAGTGGGGGGTGTCTTCCCTTGAGAGAGGAGAAGAGGCTGAGGAAGGGAGGTGGGAGAAGGGGGCTTTGATTGGCAGGGAATAGGCAAGTGTGTCACTGGCTCCTTTGACCAGCACTGAGTGACATCCACTCTGCCAGGCCTGTGCTTTGTGCTGGGCACCACTGTGGGGTATGAGGCAGTGGATCACAGGAGAAGGACCCCCATCAGGCATTTCTGTGTTCTCCCTTTACCCCCACTGCTGGTTGGCTACCAGGAAGGGTTGAGCCTCTCTCTCACTTGGCTCTGAAGCCCAGATCCTCTGCATCCACATGTGAGCCTGCCATGTGAATGCCAGTCCAAGTCCTGTGGCTGTTCTTCTGGTGTTTCTGGTCTAGTCTTATACTTTTCTAGTTTGTTTCCCATGTGGCATCCAGATGGGGCTCCCCAAGACAGCTGTGACCAAATCCCTCCCCTGTTCAGCACCCTTTCACACTCCTCCTCACCTTAGGATGAAACCAGACTCCTGTACCTGGTATCCTGGGGCCTCTGGCGGGGTCCTCTGCAGCTTCATCCATGATCTCTGCCCCATACCCCTTCCCTCCCCTTTTTTCTGAGGACCATGCTGCCTCCCTCAGGGCTGAAAACACCCCCCAGGGATGGTCTCTGGCTGGCATCTCCCTTTCTCAGATGCAGAGGAAACCTTGCAGGTGGTGTGCTCAGTTGGGGTGTTGGGGTGCCATACACCTGTAGGACCTTCTTGTGGAATGCTCCAAGTGTTGAGACACTCAAGCATCCTGAGAGCTAGAGGAGGAGGCTGAGGATCAGAGGAAGCTCGCAGAAGGTCACACAGCCTGCGTGTGACAAAGGCTAGTGCTCAGACCCAGCCTGGGGCACTTTCCCATTCTGTCTCCCTTCCCCCAGGTCATCCCACCTGGTTATGTAGTGTCCAGCTGGACAGGGCTACAGTGTGAAGGACCTGGATCTGCTGAGACCTGTGTCACCACGTTCAGCCACCCCTCCCTCCCAGGGCCACCGAGCTGGCTTTTTTTGTTTACCTTTTCATTGAAGCATATGTAACTGATCTACAGACAGGTGCATAGGTCATGAGTGTAGAGCTCAGTGGATTTTCACAGGGACCACACCCATGGAACCACCACCCAGATCCAGAAATTTCACCAGAACAGCAGAAGCTCTCTCACACCTCTTCCAGTCACTGCCCCGAAGATAGCCAAATCCTGCTTTCTGTGCACTGTAGATGAGTTATGCTGGCTTTGCTTTACTTAAAAAAGAAACTGATTTTTAATAGACAAAAATTGTAAATGTTTATCATGTACAACGAAATATTTTGAAAGGTGTGTGCATTTCGGAATGGCTAAGTCAAGTTAATTAACACACTGATTACCTCACATACTTTTTTGTCCTGAGAACACTCCAAATCTACTCAGCCAGGCATGGTAGCTCATGCCTGTAATCCCAGTATTTTGGGAGGCTGAGGCAGGCAGATCGCTAGAGGTCAGGAGCTAGACTCCAGCCTGGCCAACATGGCGAAACCCCATCTGTACTAAATACAAAAATTAGCCGAGCATGGTGGCAGGCGCCTGTAATCCCAGCTACTTGGCAGGCCAAGCCCGGAGAATCGCCTGACTCCATTAGATGGAGGTTGCAGTGAGCCGAGATCATGCTGCTGCACTCCAACCTGGGCAACAGAGTGAGATTCCAAAAAAAAAAAAAAAAAAGGTCTACTTCTAGCAATTTTCAAGAGTATAATCTATTGTTATTAACTATTGTTACAATATTGTAATAGATTTCTTGAACTTACAGATCTCTTGAACTAATTCCTCTTATCTAACTGAAATTTTGTGTCCTTTAACCAACATCTCTGCAACCTTCCTCCCCACCCTCACCCCTCAGTCCCTGTTAACCATCATTCTACTTTCTGCTTTTATGAGTTCAACTTTTTAAAAATTCCACCCATGAGGAAGATCATGGCTTATTTCCCTTAGCATATTGTCTTCCACGTTCATCCATGTTGTTACTAGTGATGAGATTTCCTTCTTTTTATGGCTGAATTGTATTACATTGCAGTATATAACCACATTTTCTTTATCCATTCATCCATTGATGGACTCTTAGGTTGATTCCATATCTTGGCTACTGGGAACAGTCCTGCAGTGGCCACGGGAGTGCAGATATGTCTTCAACATACCAACTTTACTTCCTTTGGATTTATACCCAGTAGTGGGATTGCTGGATCATAGGTATTTTTATTTTTAATTTTTTGAGAAACCTCCACACTGTTTTCTGTAATGGCTGTACTAATTTACATTCCCACCAATAGTGTACGAGGGTTTCCTTTCGCCATATCCTCACCTACACTCATCTTTTTTTTGTAAAAAAAAGTATCTTTTGTAAAAATATTTTTTAAAGTTCTTTTTATAAAAGATGTGTCTTTTGTTTTTTTCTAATAAGATATCACACTTTTGTCTTTTTTTCATAAAAGATGTATCTTTTTTTTTTAATAAGATATCATGCTTTTTTTTTTTTTTTTTTTTGAGATAGAGTTTTGCTCTATCACCCAGGCTGGAATGAAGTGGTGTGATCTTAACTAACTGCAATCTCACCCCCGCCACCCCTGGGTCCAAGCCATTCTATTGCCTCAGTCTCCCGAGTAGCTGGGATTACAGGTGTGTGCCACCACATCCAGCTTATTTTTGTATTTTTAGTAGAGACAGGTTTCACCATGTTGGCCAAGCTGGTCTCGAACTCCTGACCTCAGATATTTGACCCACCTCAGCCTCCCAAAGTGCTGGGATTACAGTCATGAGCCACCATGCCCAGCCTCTTTTGTCTTTTTTTATAAAAGCCAAAAGGTGGGAAGTGATATCTCATTGTGGTTTTGATTTTCTTTTCCCTAATGATTAGTGATGAGCATTTTTTTACATGCCTATTGACCGTTTGTATGTCTTCTTTAGAGAAATGTCTATTCAGATCATTTGCCCATTTTAAAATCAGATCATTACGGTGGTTTTGTTTGTTTGTTTGTTTGTTTGTTTTTTTTTTTTGTTTTTGCTATTGATTTGCTTGAGTTTCTTCTATATTCTGGATATTAACTCGTGTCCGATGCCTGGTTTGCAAACATTTGCTCCCATTCTGTAGGTCTTCTCTTTGTTCTGTTGATTGTTTTCTTTGTTGTGCAGAAAATTTTTAGCTTTATGTAATCCACTTTTGTCTGTTTTTGCTTTTGTTGTCTGTAATTTTGGGATAATATCTAAAAAATCTTTGTCCAGATCAATGTCATAACAGCTTTTCCTGTGTTTTCTTCTAGTAGTTTCACAATTTCAGGTCTTATATTTAAGTGTTTAGTCCATTTGAGTCAATTTTTGCATATGATGAGAGACAGGAAAACTTTTATTCTTCTGCAGGTGGACATCCGGTTTTCCCAACACCAATTATTGGAGAGGCTCTCCTTTCCCCTTTGTGTGTTCTTGGCACTTTTGTTGAAAATTAATTGACATATTAAATGTATGTATTCATTTCTGGGCATTCTGTTCTGTTCCATTGGTCTATGTGTCCATTTTTGAGCCAGTACCATGCTGTTTTGGTTACTATAGCTTTGTAGTATATTTTGAAGTCAGGTAGTGTGATGCCTTCAGCTTTGTTCTTTTTGTTTAAGATTGCTTTGACTATTCAGGGTGTTTTGTGGTTCTGTATGAATTTTAAGGATTGTTTTTTATTTCTACAAAAAATGTCATTGGAATTTTGATAGGAGATTGAACTGAATCTGTAGATTGTTTTGGGTGGAATGGACATTTTAACAATACTAATTCTTCTTATCCATGTATACAGAATCTTTCCATTCATTTGTGTCTTCAGTTTCTTTCATCAGTGTTTCATATTTTTCAGTGTACAGGTCTTTTACCTTCTTGGTTATATTTATTCCCAAGCATTTCTTTTCTCCTAGTAACTATTGTAAATGGGATTGTTTTCTTGACTGTTTTTTGAATAATGTGTTGTTAATGTATAAAAATACTACTGACTTCTGTGTATTCCTTCTATACCTATTTTGTTGAGAGTTTTTATCATGAAAGGATGTTGAATCTTGTCAAATGTGTTTTTTTAAATTCAACGAGATGACCAATTTTTGCCCTTCATTCTGTTAATATTATGTATCATGTTTATTTATTTGCATATGTTGAACTATCCTTGCATTCTTTAGATAAATATTACTTGATCATGGTGAATGATCCTTTTAATGTGCTTCTGAATTATTTGCCTTTTTTTTTTCCAGAAACTGGGTCTTGCTATCTGCCTGAGACTCCTGAGTAGCTGGGACTACAGGCATGCACCATCATACCCAGCTTGCTTGCTAGTATTTTGTTGAAGGTTTTACATCTACGTTCATAAGGGATAATGGCTTGTAATTTTCTTTTCTTGTAGTGTCTTTATCTGGCTTTGGTAATGGGGTAATGCTAGCCTTGATTTTCAATTATATTTAAATAGAATCATGTAATATTACTTCTCTTGCATAATATGCTTGTAAGATCCATCCATAGGGTTGTGTGCAACAACAATTTGTTCATTTTCATTATTCTTTAGTATTCCATTATATGAATATACAACAACATATTGATTCATTCATTTGTTGATGAACATTTAGCTTGTTTCTGATTTTCAGTTCTAACAAATACTACTGCAATAAACATTCTTGTACATGATTTTTGGTGACTATATGCTTGCATTTCTATTGGACATATTCTTAGCAGTGGAATTACTAGATTATAGATATAGTCAAATGGTTTTGCAAAGTGATTATACCAATTTATCCTCCTATCACCAATGCATAAGAGCTTCACTTGGGATTGTGTGTGTGTGTGTGTGTGTGTGTGTGTGTGTGTGTGTGTATTTCACTTAAGTCATTCTAGTGGGGGTATAGCAGTATCGTATTGTGGTTTTAATTTGCATTTCCTTAATGATTAGTGATGTTGAGCACTTTTTCTTCCAGTTTTAGGCCATTTGGATATACTCTTTTTCTCATGTTCTTTTCTAAAAGCTTTATTGTTTTACCTCTCAGATTTGAACTCTATCTGGAATTAGTTTTGTATACGGTTTGAGGTAGGGGTAAGACAACCGTTTTTCCTTATGGATAGCCAACTGACCCAGCACCATTTATTGAAAAGATTAGTCCTTTCTCTAGTGCATTGTGGTGTCTCTTTTGTCATATGTCAGGTGTCCTTATACTTGTAGCTTATTTCTGAACTTTCTATATACTGTTCCTCTGGTCTGTGAAACAGTGCCCAGTGAGCTTTGTGATCAGCCTTGTTACTTAGTAGTGTAAGTAGTGTTCTCTTCAAATGGCTCTGCCTATTCTTGGCCCTTTGTATGCTGGCTTAGAGGCCCGTGCTGACTTTGAGGCCCTCTTGTTGCTGGATTTGGACTTTGCTGTGTCCTTGATTCTTAATACACCCTGGGGCTGATGCTGGCTCCATGACCCCATGTCTTAGAGGCTCAGAGAGGTAAGTGACTTGCCCCTCCTCACAGCTTTGGAGCCTGGCCTTGGCTTCTCCCTCAAAGACAAATTTCTTGGTGTTCCCATCTACAAGCTGACTTAGGTGGTTGTCATGTCCAAGGAAGGCTCACTGGTATCAGCCCTCCTCCTTCTGCAGCCAGGGCAGCATGGCCCACTGGAAAATGAGGCCTTGTTCCATCCTGTAAACAGCCAGACTGTCCCTGCCACCTCCAGCAGGTCCAGAGAACAGCAGACTAGGCCACACAGCCTCCTGAAAGAGGGGTACCAACCATGTCCCAGGTGAAGACAGACTGAGCTTCTCAGGAACAGATGCCACTTTCTTTCTGTCATTTGTTGCCTTACAGGCTGGAACCCAGTAGGGCTCAGAGGAGGCTTGCTGATTGACAGCAGCTCAGAGGGGTTTGCACTTTGCCCAAGGACACACAGCAGCTAAATGGTACAGTTGGGACACACACTTAGATCTGACTGACCTGCCAGAAGACTGGGTTCCCGGAGCTCCCTGGTGAGCTCCCCCAGCCCCCTCATTCTGACCCAACTCAGAACCTCCACTCTTTGTCCACAAAGGCCTTGCTGTGCAGGCTGGGTCTGACTCAGCTACCCTGGTCGCAGGAGGAGGAGGATTGATACCAGTGAGCCTTCCCTGGACATGATGGCCAGCTAAGCCATTTTGTAGATGGGAACATCAAGGAATTTGTCCAGAGCCTGCAGCCTGTTATGCAGATCCCAAGCCTCCAGACTCTGTATCCCAGCAGGGCTTCCCAAAGCAGGTCCCAGGTTAACACTGTGCTCATCTTAGGGGGTGCCTGATGTGATAATAAAGATGTCTTTTGTGCCTCAGCCTTTCTGTGAACTGTTCCCTTTGCCTGGAATGGCCTTTCTCTCCTGCCTCTGTGGCCAGGACTGTGTGGAGGCTTCCTGCTTTCCTCTTGCTGGAACCTCTGAATGATACATGCTTCATTCTGCTGTGTATCTGTTACCCACACTAGACCAGCGCGGACAGGAACCCCAAGGCCCTGTCCGAGCCCCAAGGCCTTGTTGTAGCACCTTCATGCCTGGCAGGGGTCTGGACACATCATGGGTGAAGACCAGATGTCAATTGCCTGAGATTGTCGGTCCTCAGGGCGCAGAGCATTAAAGGATTCAGAGAGCTGCTCTGCCTGGTGGGGTCTTGTTTGCTCCTCACAGTGGCTCAGAGGCTCTGACACATTGTCTCTTCTAGACATGGACCCTGCAGACCAGCGAGGCGATGTGGCCTGCTCAGGCCCTCATAGCTTACATGGGCAGTGGGGGCTCAGGCCAAGTCTCAGGAGTTGGAGAAGGGCCGGGCTGCAGCAGAAGGTGGTAGGGCTGCAGCCCAGGCAGCGAGGATGTGGGCACCAGCTGGTACCCAGCTATCAGGAAGGGGAGGAGAGAAGAGCCAGGCCTGCACCAGGGTGAAGGGGCCGGACTCGCTGCCATAGACCTGAATGCTGGCAGCTGTGATGTGGAAAGCTCATTCCCCTTGGGAGCTGCCACCACTCTCTGAGCCTTTTCTGTTCTTGAAGGACTTCCTCCTGCACTCACCTTTGTTGGTTCATGCAACACAGCTACTCAGTCCCTGGTGCCACCTTGGACCCTGCGATAGAGAGAGGAGCTGGACACCGCCCCTGCCCTGGAGGGGCATAGGGCAGTTTGGGGAGGCAGACAAGTCATGCGCAGACGGGGTACAGTGTAATGGGTGCCATCCCAGGGGCACAAGGATAGCAGAGGAAGATGGTGTGCAGAGGCCCTGAGGAAATGGCTTTGTGGGAGCTGTGAGAAGCTTTGAGCCCTGGAGCTTCAGCCCAGGGTGGAGAATGGCGGGGACAAGATTGGCAGGAGGGAAGAGGGCAGGCACACAGGTCAGCTGGGAAGCTCCAATGGTCCTGAACCCCACCCAGGGGTCGTGCTGGGCCCAAACAGCTGAAAACACTGGGGAGACAGGAAGGGCTATGGCCCTAAGCTCAGGCTCAGAAAGAAAAGGCCCCCGAGGAGCAGCTTTCCTGCCTCCTGGTCTATCTGTGGCCTGCAGTGCTCTGCCTGGAGCGAGCAGAGGAGAGCCAACCCTGTGGGGGTATTGGCCCTGTAGATACAGTGGGAGGTGACTTTGGGGCAGATGGAGGGTGCAGAGGGGCAGTCTGTGCAAGGGCTGGGGCCAGAAGAACCTCATATAAGTAGGGCAAGGTCAGCCTGGCAGGTGGGTGAGGCTGGAAAGATGGCACAGCCGTATCAGACCCTCAGTCAGCCGGGCCTGGCCCTGTGCAGCCCCTGGCCTAGACAGGCTCTCCCTTCGTGGCCTCCACATCCCTTCCATCCTCCCCAGGAGTGGACCCTCCCAGCACTGGCCCCTTGCTGGCCTGGAGAGCAGCCAGAACTTCTTTCTCTACCAACCTGGCTGTGTGACCTGGGCCAACTCGATCCCCCTTTCTGGGCCCTCTAGGCTTGGAAACACCGGAATTGCAAGAGCTGATTTCCAGGCTCCTGCTTTCAGCTTCTCTGATCTAATTCTTGTAGCTTAAATTGCTTCCTGAGCTGACTCTGATGGAAACCCTTCCCCTGGTGCTAATGATGCTCCTGGATGAGTGTGCTGGAAGCCTGAAACCTGGGAGCTGGCTCTGTGGGCTCCTTCCCTCTCTCCCTCAGGCCTCCAAGGCAGGGAGAATGGGTGGGAGGGGGCAGGGCTGCTGGTGTCCCTGGGCAGAGGGGCAGCCAGAGAAGTTAAGTCGTTGGCCTGAGGTCACACAGCAGCCCTCACCAGCAGGCTCAGTACGGATATGAGGGCAGAAGGTGAAGTGGCTTCCGGTGCAGAGCAGGGGACAGCTGCTTTTAGCTCCCTTGAAAGGCACAGACGATGGCCCCCTTTCCCTCTCTGCTGCCTGTTGTGCCCATGCTCACCATCCACGCTCACCTCCTTCCCTTCCTGTGTCTCCCTTCCCTTTTTCCCTCCATGTGAGGACCCAGCTCCTTGAATGAGCAGCAGTGTCACATGGCTGAGGCGGTGGCACTGAAGTCAGAGGATCTGGGTCCCAGTCCAGACAGCAGGTGTCTGGGGAGCTTGGGCAGCTCACCTTACCTCACTGAGCTGCAGTTGCATTTTGTGCAAGCTGGCAGCTGTGTGCCCACTGGCACTGTTGGCAGGCAGTAAGTACACATGCATCTCTGGTCCAGGAAATGGGGCATCTCTTGGGACCGAGGGGTGTCTTGCCCCTTCTCCCTCACCGCTCTTCCCGCTGTCACTCTCAGCAGGCTCCTCAGCCTTCAGTTAATGGGTTGGCTCCTTCCAGGGGCACAGCAGCCCTGCATAATTCCCATTACTGAGAAGAGAAAATGGGCTCAGAGAATTCACGTGGCCTGTTCAACGTCACCCAGCAGGCAGGTGGTGCTGCTGGGGCTGGCACTCACACCAGTCCTGCTCTCAGATGTCACTCCCACAGTTGGCCTACCTTGCCTCGGTTTCCCTCAGGACTGCGCTGGAAATTGTGGACTTTACTTCAGATGGATTGCACCATTACCCTGGGCAGGCCCAAGGAAGAGTAGATCAGGGGCTGTGGGGTGGCACTGCAGCCTGGATGGATGGGAGGGGGGTCATAAATGGGGTGGTCACTCAGGTGCTTGGCGTTTGAGCATCTGTCAGTGCACATGATGTGCAGTCCCCACCAGCCTCTGTTCCTTGCCCTGCCCTGCCTTGCCCTCCACTCCCGGAGATCTTCCTGACCACACTGGTCTGGTCTGTGTCCTTGTTCTTGGTAAGCACCTTGGTGCAAAGTTCAGGGTGCTTGGCTGGGTGCACCTGGGGAATGGAGGGTGGGTTAAGGAGCCATGGGCCTGCTCCCTACAGAAATGGAGACATCTATTCCCGAGGTGCTGCGAGGAAGGCAGCATGGTGTGGGATGACTGGAGAGAATGAATGAATAATGCCCAGAGGGGTGCCTGGGGCAAGGTTTTCCCACGCAGCACAGAAAGGTGTCACTCTCTAGAGGTGGGGAGGGAAACCCAGAGGCACACCCTGCTTTCCTGTGGGAGGTACACCAGCCAGGGAGCTGCCAGGGCTGGCCACTGGTCTGACTCCGTCTGAGGAGGTGTATGGAAGGCTGCTCAAACAAAGGGAGGCAGGGAGGTGGGTGTGGCCAGGGCCTGGCCTGAGCTCTATGTGGCCTTCAGGCCTGGTATCACCTCTGAGCTTCAGAAACGAGAGAATCCAGACTGTGGAGTCAGGCTGGTCGGCGCCTGTCCCGCTCTGCTGCATACCAGCTGTGTGACCTTGGATAGACTCCTTGCCTCTCTGAGCCTTCCTTGCCTGTGGGATGGGGCTGACAGTGCCCGCTTCATAGGGCTGCAGGGAAGTAAGCGCATGGAACCGGTGTGCAGCCGGGACCCAGGGACTCTGTGAGTGACGGTCTTCTTGCCTTCCTGTCCAGGTGTTCCTCCTCCCCTCCCTGGGTCAGGGGCCACCATGTTCTCCTGCGTGAAGCCCTATGAGGACCAGAGCTACTTGGCCCTGAGACGGGACTGCCTGCGTAGGAAAGTGCTCTTCGAGGATCCCCTCTTCCCAGCCATTGACGACTCACTCTACTATAAGGGCACGCCAGGGCCCACCGTCAGGTGGAAGCGGCCCAAGGTCAGTGTCTTGTCCCAGCTGGAGCTGGGTGAGCAGGCCCAGGCCCACCCACAAGGCTGGGTCTGCAGGGACACGGGGGTGGTGAGAGGAGGCATCCCCAGCCCCAGGCTGCTAAGAAAGTGAGGGTTCTGAGACTGTGGGATTTGCTCTGGATGGGGAGGTCAGAGGATGGGCCGTAATCCTGTGGCCACAGCCAGGCCTTCACCCCTCTCTGGGCCTCAACTTTCTCACAGGAAAAACGGGGCAGTAACCTCAGCCCCACTGAGGGCCATTTTTGGAATAAAAATGGGGTGATATGGATATGACCTTTTTTAGTAAAATGTAGACCAATATCCAAATGTAAGGACTTTACTTTCCTGATTGTTATCATAATGATTTTGAAATAGTCATTTGTGGCAGAAGCGAGAAGTAATTATTATCATGATTAATCAATAATAGTAAAAAAAAGCACCTACCTCACAGGGTGGTCGTGAGAGTAAAGGAAGTGCAGTGCCAAATTCCACACGCAGCCCGGCAGCAGCTGGGGAGCCCTGGCCGCGGGGCTGATAATGAACAGGTGGCAGCTCTCCGGCCACGGCTCTTGGCTCTTGGTTCCTGAGTATGTTACACAGAAATGTTTGGTCTCGTGGTGTGGCTTCATTGCCTTGAACCCCGATTCCTGGCTGTGAGGGTGGGCTGGGGTGGGTTCCGCTGCTTGTCTGTGGATCCTGCAGAGTGGGGTCCCTGGTGGCCTGGGTGGAGGTCACTGCCCAGGCCCCTCCCTGGCCTCCCAGGCTGCGCTGGTGACGCTGTGAGGGTCGTCCCCCAGGGGACTTCAGTGCGGGAGACCGTGCTGTCCCAAGAATGCTCAGGGCCAGGAAGAGGCTGTGACTCCCGCAGCCCAGTAATCAGAGGTGGCCACATCTTGGAGGTGAAGGGTGATGAGGCTTTTGCCTGAAGGGCCAGGTGGAAAAAGGCAGAGGGAACAGAATCTCACAGGTTGGAGCCCCTCAGGCTCATGTGGGCCTGCGGAAGCTGGTGCCTGGGATCTCCGGTCTGGGGCCAAGGTGCTCGACCTTGCTGTGTGTGCTGTGAGGACACCAAAGGCAAAGCTTTCAGCAGCCTGCGACGGGGTCAGAGTTGCATTTTCCAAAGTTCCCTCTGATCCGTGTGCTTTTTGGGAAAATGCAATGTAGCTGTCTAGTGCCTCTCCCAGGTTGTGATCTCAAGTTACTTCTGACTGAAAAATCCCTGTAGATGTTCTTGGACTGGGACTGTTGAGAGGCTGAGAAACTGAAGCCAAGAGGGGAAGGGGCGTGTCCTGGATTGCCTTGAGCTACTAGCAGGGGTAGTTGAGGATCCAGGAGTCCTGCCTCCCTGGGCCCCACCTTCCTGGCACCAGATAAAGAGCCCTTGGTGCCCTTGACCTCAGTCCCAAGAGCTGCAACAGAATCTGTGGACCTGCACTGACTCTCTGGAAGGCCCAGGATCCTCCTGGCCTGGCCACAAGAGTTCTGCTTCTTGGTCCCCCTCTCCCACGCCTTCCTCTCTTTCTTTGTCAAGTAGGTGGGGAGGGAGCCAGCCTCAAAGGGCCTTTGTGAAGCCTTGGCTGTGGGGAGGAGGGGTGGGCACTCCATCTCCTCACCCTCCTCCCACTCCATCCCCTGGCTGCCTCTGTCCTGACTCCCCGCTGTCCTCTGGGCATTGCCCAGACATGTTAGGTCTATGGCTCTGGAAAGAGGCTGGTGAGGCCTGGCCGGGGCAGCTGGGCTTGCTGCAGTGAGAGGAGGGAATGCCAGGCTGGACTGCTTAGTCCTCTCCTGCTGTGTGACCCAGGGGAGTCACATGCCCTTTTTGAGCCCCTTTCCTTGAGGGTTCAGGAGCCCTGCCACACCTCCCCCCACTCCATGCCCTGCCCTTTCTAAACATTCAGAGCTGCCCTGCCCCCGATGTGGGGGCAGGTGACAGAGAGTGTGTGGTGGCCTGTGTTGAGAGAGCTGTGAGTGGGGCCCAAGGGGCAGCAGCTGTGGGGGCTCAGGCCAGGCTGGGGTAGATGGTGCACGGCACTGCCTGAATTTCCTATGCCATGTGTGTAGGCACTGCCTGCTGGCTGGTGACGGGCCTGCGGGACAGGCAGCCTCTGCCCCACTAACAGGATGGGAGGTTTGTGGAGCAGGAAGTCAAGCAGGCTTGGCTCAGTGGTGGGGCGGGCCCAGCCCAGTGGGTTATCATTAACGCCCAGCTGCTTGCCAATGAGAGGGGACTTTGGCCTCAGGCAGCCTTGTTTCCTGGAGTCTCATCTGTAACCACCTGTTTACAAATGGGAAGCCCTGCTGCAGCCTGTTCGTCCCCTCCAGCTCCTTCTCTGAGTTGGTCCTTATCAAGGCTGCTCTGGCTTAGGAGGATCTACTCAGCCAGGCTCCCTGCCTCCCTGCCTCCCTGCCACTCAAATGCAATGCAGAGACTGGTTTCTGAGCCAGAAGGAACTTGGCTCCAGCCTTGGCCCTACCTTACTAGAAGTGTGACTTGGATCAAGTCATGCCTATTTGCACCTTAGTTTCTTCATCTGTAATTGGGGAAGGATAATTCTTGCTGGCTCTCAGGAAACTGAAAAGACTTGAGGTATCCGTGGTGTCATATGCATGGGAGGCAGGTGACAAACTAGTTCCCCTCTCTTGCCCGTCTTCTCCTTGGCAACCCTGTGTTGGAGACCTAGAGCCACTCTGGCTGGGACGTCCCATCCCCTACTGACTCTGCAGGTGGGACCAGGTCTTGGCCTCTTGGGTCCCTACCTGGGCACCTGCCTCAGCCCACACCCTTTGCCCACAGGTTCACCGTGTTTTTGATCTTTCCAGTACAGGGGCCATTTTCCGGCCCCTCACAGGGCTGTCTGGGGAGATGCATGGAGAATGGGGAGCTCAGGATGTCCTTCCTTCTCTCTCAGGCCCAGGGCCCTGGTAGGCGGCCTCCTGTCACCCCTGTGGTGGCAGCAGCCCCTCATCCAGCGCGCTGTCTCTTCCACACCTGGATATGAGCTGGAGGTCCTTTGGTGGAATGCAGAGAGGACAAGGGGATTTCCAATGAACAGACGTAGGTTTTGGAACCTCCAGAAGTCCCTGGAGCAGCCTTGGGGACCCTGGCCCCAACCCAGCCCCTGGGACTCTTGTCCATCAAGCCATTTTCTGGAGATGGCTCTACTCCTCACTCCCTGAACATAAGGCCTTTCCATACCACAGAACAGGCAGTTTACAGCAAAGCCTGACAGCGGTGGCACACCCAGCTGTCCTGCCCAGGAGTGGCCCCCTTATGGGCATGTGCTCAGAGATGGGGTTCATTCCTGCTCTCTAGTTGATTCCTTCCATGATTCTAGATTCCAGAAGGTGGGTGACTGGGGTGAAGAGTGGGGGAGAAGGACAGATGTGGAGGGAGCCACTGCAGGTACAGCCCAGGATGCGTGGATCTAGTCCGCTGCTTTGCCGTATTCCCGTTTGTACACCAGGACTAGGAACCTGAATTTCTTGTTGTGCCATGAGGGAGGAGGGAGAAGCGAGGAGGAAGGAAGGAGGAGGGAGGAGGGAGGAGGGAGGAGGGAGGAGGGAGGAGGGAGGAGGGAGGAGGGAGGAGGACTGGGCTGTGGCCTGTCAGGTGGAGCTGGTCTAACAGGCTGGGAGGGGCTAAGCAGGGGAGTGGTGACTGCAGGTGCAGAAGGCTGTCCTAGAGCGGTGTTGACCCGAGGAGTGGTCAACCCCCAGCCCTCAGGGGCAACTCCCGTACAGCCCAAAACTGTAGGTCACTTTGTCCTCCCTCCCAGGGACCTGTCCGCAGCCCTAGTGGAACCTGCCAAGCTTTGCTAAGCCTGGATGTGGGCAAAGTCAGGCCTGGGCCCTGCCTGGGAGCTCACAGGCTGGTGGTGGGGACCCTAAGGAAACCCGGCGAGTATGGACAGGAATTGAAGGGAGCACAGGTGGTTGGGCACCTGAGGACTGTTTCAGAGGCACCGTCTGCCTCAGGACACTTTGAGTCCCCATTTCCCTCCTAAACCTCCCTGCCTATCGGCATTCTCCATGCCTGCTCTGCCAGCATCACTGCCTCCAGCCAGCCTCCTCTGACTTCTCTCTGGCTCCTGCTGTCACAGCTCTGCTCACATGGAGAGTCAGGGCCTCGCTGCTTCTCAAGGGTCCTGCCTGTGGGCAGAGACCTTTCCTGACTCATTTTATGACCTATGTCCAGCCAGTGGCCCAGGAAAAGTGGAAGGACAAACATTGGCTTGAGAAGCCTGGACCTACGATGGCAGGGTTGAAGGCCTGGGCTTTCCTGACTCCTTAGTCTCATTGCTGTCTAGTGAGACACCCCATAAGCTGGGTTAGGACAGGTGTAGGGGGACAGCTGAAGGAAGGGTGGTTTTGTCACCCATAAAACCTAGCCCACCTGGAGACTGCAGCCAGACTGCCTGAATTTGAATTTCAGTTCACCTCTTCTTGTGTAGCCCTGGGCAAGTGACTCAACCTTTCTGTGCCTTGGTTTCCTCATCTGTAAAAAGGGGGCACCAACAGTGCCCATCTCACAGGGTTGTTTTGCACAGGGCTGCCACATAGCAGGTGCCCAGTTATTGTGAGCTATTTCTATTATTGTTCCTTTCCAGGTGCCCCAAGGTGGCCCCTGGATTCCAGAGCAAACTCCAGGTGCCACCAACCTCAGGTGGTTTCTCTTGGTTAAAGCTGGTGACCCTGACCTCTCCTGGCAGCGGGAACATGCCTGGCTGCCTTCTGCTTTGTCTGTTCCCTCCTAGGCTGCACAATTGCCCCCAGATCCCTGCTCTGCCACAGCAAGTCAGAGCAATGGAATCTGGGAATCATGACTCCCGAGCTCGGTCTGTCTCTCAAGGACTGGATAAGTGGCTGGGGCCAGAGCCCTGTTCTGGGGCCCAGATCTGGTTAGATCCGCCCCTTGGGTCTGCCCGAGCAGTGGTGCTCAGTATGGGGAGACCCCGTTCCGGAGCCCAGCAGACCTAGGGGGTCCTATCAGATTGGCCCACTTACTTGCCTAGTAGCATTGCACATCACTGCCCTATCCTGGGCTCAGCCTCCTCCTCTGTGGGATGGGGCAGTCATGTGTCTGTCTTAAGACACTGGCTGTGAGGATCCAAAGTGGAGGGACACCTGAGTCACTTCTTACTCTAGACCCTGGTGATGCCAGGTGGTAGCTGTTTCTCTTCCCAAGGTATGAGGTATACGGAAGCCCCTCTCCCTTCCCTGATCTGCCTGCCCTCCTGGCCTCAGGGAAGCAGATGCAAAGTCATAGCTCCCTCTGGCTCAGAGGACGGGCTGAGTGTGGGGTGTGGGCCTGGGCTAAGAGATAAGATAGGAGGGCAGAGGGGCGGGGAGGCAAGTCCCTTCTTCCTGCCTGTGCTTCCTCAGGGGGTGCCTTTGGGGATGGATGAGAACAGGCGGCCTCACTGGGTTTCCTAGGCCTGTGCCCTGAGGACGCCATCATGCAGGGTGGCCCTGGGGCACCCTGTGGTGCCAACTGGAAAGAAGGCCTGGTCTCAGGAACTGCTCATGCCCTCAGGGGAGTTCTAGCCCTTTCTCTGCCCCTCTAAAACTCCAGTTCTCCTGGGCAGAGGGGGCAGTAGGGTCCCACCTTGGTGGAACTAGGGGCCTTCTGCCCCATTTTCCCCTGCCATCTGCTCCACTCCATGATCTGGAGATTCCCTACACAGCCCTGCCGCATAGCAGGAGCTGTTTCTATTATCTCCTCTGCACAGGTGAGGCCCAAAGTTGCACAGCCAGTGCATAGGCAGCAGGCATTCAAATTCCTGCCTCTGCCACCCTCTGCTGGCCGCCTGTGGTAGGACTGCAGGAGCTCTTGGGCTGGAGCTATCTCAGCAGTGCCTGCTGCCACCTACCCCTGCTGTGTGGCCCAGGCATGGTATCCAACTTCCCTGGGCCTCAGTGTCCTCATTTGCAAAAACGGATATTGACCACCTCTCAGTGCCATGGTGGTCCCAGCAGGGTGCCTGGTACATGAAAAGCATGTCTCAGTGTTTGCCTGTCCCCACCCTCTGCCATGCCCACGACCCCTTGGGGAGGAGTTGCTTCCTCTCAGCTCAGTGAGGAGATGGAAGAGGAGGAGGGGCCTGCTCTGTTCCCAGGGCCAGAGTTAGGGATCAGGCCGGGCCCCACCCCTGGCTCAGGCCCGGGGGTGGGATGTTCACAGCTGCAGGAACACAGGTTGAGCTGACCCTTCCTGGGTGCATCTCTTGGTGCTGGAGCCACCCATAGAGGTCTGGGCATAGATTCCCAGCAGCTGAAAATGGAAACAGACCTTCATTCGCTTTGGGTCAGGCCCTGGGCTGGCACTTTACAACTCTGGTTCCTCTTTGCAAAGCAGAAATTATTGGCTATGCTCATTGGCTCCTGCCTGTAATCCCAGCATTTTGGGAGGCTAAGGCAGGAAGATTGCTTGAGACCAGGAGTTTGAGACCAGCCTGGGAAACATAGTGACCTCATCTCTACAAGAAATTTAAAAATTAGCTGAATGTAGTGGTGCTGACCTATAGTCCCAGCTATTTGTGAGGCTTAGGCCAAAGGATCACTTGAGCCTAGAAGGTTGAGGCTGCAGTGAGCTATGATTGTGCCACTGCACTCCAGCTTGGGTGACACAACCACACCTTGTCTCAAACAAAAAACCAAAAAAAACAAAACCCAAAATCCAACAACATAAAGAAATCATTGTTCCTACTTTGTAAATTGGAAAGCTGAGGCCCAGAGAGCTCGCCAGAGCGAAGAGCTGGAATTCAGTTTCCAGTCTGAAGCCAAAGCCCATGCTTTTCCCATTCATAGCACTGTCTCAGGGGCTTTGAAGGAAGACACCCCCACTGCAGGGCGAGGCAGAAAGCCCAGCAAACTCCTTGGGCAGGGTCAGTGCAGAGGGCAGTGGAGCCCTCCTGGGCTGCTTCTCTCTTGGCAGGCAGAGCAAGTGGCTTCCAGAAATTAGGGCGGGCTGGGCCTGAGAGCGGCCAGCTGCTCACGGATCATTCCCCACCCAGCGGCTGCCCTGGCTGGATTCCCTGGCTGTGTCTCATGGAGCAGCCCCTTGGGTCGTGCCTGCCAGTCTCTATAGAAAATAAAAATGGAGGCTGGGTGCGGTGGCTTATGCCTGTAATTCTAGCACTTTGGGAGGACAAGACAGGCAGATCATCTGAGGTCAGGAGTTTGAGACCAGTGTGGCCAACATGGTGAAACCCCATCTCTATAAAAATATAAAAACTAGCTGGGTGTGGTGGTGCACACCTGTAATCACAGCTACGTGGGGGCTGAGGCAGGAGAATCGTTTGAACCCAGGAGATGGAGGTTGCAGTGAGCTGAGATTGCGCCACTTGTACTCCAGCCTGGGTGAGAGAGTGAGATTGTCTCAAAAAAAAAGAAAGAAAGAAAGACAAGGAAAAGAAAGGAGTTTTTGCTCCATTTGAGCATTTGCTTGCTGTGGGTGACTTTAACAAGTCACAGTCCCTCTCTGAACCTCCATTCCTTGCCCATACAATGCAATGGTAACTCCTCGCTCATCGGGTGGGCAGATCAGATGAGACTGTGTGAGGTAGGTGCTGTTCGGAGCCTAGCCCACAGCTCCCCATTGGCCCCTCAGTTTATGCTCCCCACATGTGATTTGGGTGTTTGTCCCATGCCCGAAACCCCACCCCACTTGATTGGACTGGACCCCTGCGGGCTGGTGGGGGTGGGCACTCAGGCTGCTGGTTCTGGGGAAGGAAGGGAATGGAGCTCTTGCTGGTCAGGGAGGGGCGCAGTGGCCAGGAGGAAGGCAGTTCCCCAGTTCCGGCAGTCTGACGTCCTCCCACAGGTTCTTCATCAGCATACATTTAGCAGAAGAGCTCTCTTTGGCCAGGAAGGGTAGAGGGCATCCCAGGCAGGAGCAGTTGGGGTGGGGAGCAGATGGGCTGCATGGGGCCCCGACTCAGTGGTTGGAGGCAGGTGAATCTCCACGCTAACGGCGGGGTCTTCTGCCGTGGGGGGCATCCACGTGCTCCTCTGCCCCTCATGCTTTCCCCTCGCCTTCTCCGTAGGATATCTGCGAGGACCCCCGCCTCTTTGTGGATGGCATCAGCTCCCACGACCTGCACCAGGGCCAGGTGGGCAACTGCTGGTTTGTGGCCGCTTGCTCGTCACTTGCCTCCCGGGAGTCGCTGTGGCAAAAGGTGAGGCCTGGGGCAGGGTGGGGCTGGGTGCTGGGGAGTGTGAACGCAGCCTGAGGCCCTCACTACAAGACAGGTGGAAGCTGAACATGGCAAATGAGACTTTTGAAAGCCTGTGCCAGGTGTGGGGTGGGGGCCCCCAGTACTGGCTGAGCGTCAGAATTGCCTTCCCTCCCCCTCCAGCTGGAGACCCCAGGGGCAGGCGCTGGGAATCTGTGTGGCTCCCAAGGTCATTCTGTGTCCCCTTCCCACTGTTGGGGACACTTGACAGATGAATACATACCTGTGAAATGTGGAAGCTGTGTGCATTACATTTAGTGTGCAGACACCACTGACGGAGACCGTGACAGACACAGACCTGCTGTGTGACTTGGCTGGTTGCTGTCCTCCTCTGGGCCTGACTATTCCCAGTTATTCAGCGAGAGTGGGTTGGTGATCCCCAGCGTCACAACTCCCACTTCCAAGCTGCCGGTGTTCTGGACCGGGGCCCAAGGGTTTGGGTAGGAAAGAATGGGCTCTGTTCCTGTAACCCGACCTCCTATCCCAGCACTTGGCATCGGGGCCTTAGATTCAGTGCACAGGAGGTGGGAAGGCTGGAGTGGAGGCAGACCCTAGCTCCCTGCAGAATTATTGGCAGGGGCTGCAGGGGGACTCTGGTCATTGCTGCTTACTCATCCCTGCCCTTCTGCCATCCCTTGGTAGGGGCTGGCAGCAGGGCTGAGGAGCACTGGACATCTGCATCTCTCAGTCTTGGCCGTGAGCCTCATCACTTGGTAGCTTTGGAGCTGGCCTCAGGTTACTCATCAGCAAAATCAGGACAGTTGGACTAGCTGTCTCTCCGGGAGTGGTGAGGGTGGGACTAGATGCTGCACTCAGCGTGCCTTGTGCGGCGTGGTGCTCGGCCAAAGGTGGCTGTGTCTACCAGCATTGTGATGATTAACATCATAGGACATAGGGGTGCTCCTGTGCAAGACAGTCTTCCCTCTTCCTCTGAGGTGTCCTTTGGCTCTCAGAGGGAGCAGTGCCCTTGGGCAGGCTGAGACTCTGGAAGGTGTCTTGCTCTTGAGTCTGCTGAACAGGGTGTGACCTCTCAAAGCCACTCCAGGGTGGGCATCCCTGGGGCCTGGCCCCAATGATCCTTTGGGGTAGGAGCAGCTGCCTGCTGTAGGGCCCTGGGGCCTTGGCAGGGGCCACGGTTGCAGCAGATGGATGTGGGTGTTCGTGGGGCATCTGAGCCAGGAGGGCTTCCAAGGGCCACCCATTAGCTCATTTCACTCCTGCGCCTCAAGGCCTAGAGAGGACCTGGTTCTGTGCTCTGGGTGTAGGGCTGGGCCTCACTCTCCAGCTTCCAGGCTCCCACCCCCTTCTCTGAGCCCAGAACCAGGTCCCCTGCCTTAGAGCCGACCCACCCTGTGCTAGATGAGGGCTCAGCCAGGGGCTGAAGGGCACATGGGGTCCTGTGGGGCTGCCCTCACCTCCTGCCTTACCTTACAATTGCCTGTTTATCTGTCACCTCCCCCAGTGAGTTGAGCTCCCCACAGGCAGAACTGGCCCAGCGCATATGTCCCTGCTGAGCCCCCAGGACCTGGAGTAGAGAAAGCTCAGTAGAGATTTGAGAACAGCGCTCCTTTCCAAATTGCTGGACTCAGCTGCCACCCAGCAGCTCCAGGTCAGCCTTGCTGCCCAGACCTCCCAGGGCGTCGTGGTGCTGGGGCTGGTGCACGGAGTCCTCTCCTGGGGCTGTTTGTTGGTGGGAGGCTGTGTGTCCTGCCCTGGGCTTGGCCCCAGCTGTCTCCTGGTGCAGCTCCACCTCTAACTAGAGGAAGAAAGGGTCCAGGACTGCAGGCAGGAGGCCTGCCATTGAGGCCTGTGTTTATCTGTGGGCCAAAGGTTCCTGTTGCAGGGAGTTGGGACACCTGGCCTGGCTGATCTGGGAGGCTGCCAGGGCCAGGAGGCTGATCTCCTACAGCAGCTTGGGTCCCAGGGAGGCTGGGGCGGGTCTGGGTGCTCCTGGCTAATTGCACTCTGCCTCCGGTGCTGCTGTGGTGCTAGCCCATGGGTCCCGGAAGGAGGCTTGGGGCCCTGGGGAGCTCATTACTGCACCTTCCCTCCCTCATCCCTGCTGACTGGGCTCTGTTTGTTGTCACCCCTCACTTTCTGGGCCTGTTGCCCTGCAGGGCCTCCCTATTTTCTCCAATGCAGGGCAGTGCAGGGGCTGCCCAGCCTGAGCTGTACCCCTGCCCTCCCCACCTCACACTTGGGGATTCCGAGCCTTAGACACAGTGAGCCTCACACCCTCCACACCTACACCCGCAACACACACGCCGCCTCCAGGAAGCCACCCTTACCCTTCACAAGATTCGAAGCCAGCCTGATCTGGATTTGATTCTGGCCAGGTCCCCTGCTAGCTTTGTGACCTCGGTCAGGTCACCTTCCTGCTCTTGTCCTCAGTGTAAACTGACCTTTCCAAGCACCCAGAGTCAAGAGGACTAAAGGGGCCAGCGGAAGGAAACCCTTGCATTTCGTACTCTCTGCGCTTATTCAGTTCCCTCCCCAGCCCCCTCTTAGGTGCCCCACCTGTTTCTCTGTTCTGCCAGACATCTCTTGGCCTCATGTCCTGCTCCAATGGGGTCCCTGATGGGGGCATTTCAGCCTCCCGACTCGATGGTACATTCCCTGAGGGCAGGGCAGTGGACTTCAGGTGACCAGGTTTTAGGAAACTGAAATCAGGATGCGACAGTTTGGTTGAACATTTGCCATTGGGCCTGGCCCGGCCTAAGCCAAGGTCTGCTATGAGCTCACCTCTCTAGAGCCTGAGGCAGCCCTGGGCACAGGGGCAGACCTGATACCTGCTCTGAGTCATGGGGCCAGGCCTGGGCCCAGGAGGAGTCAGGCAGGCTCCTGGCCAAAAAAAAAGCATGGAAGTGACCAGAGTCCCAGTCGCACGCCTGGTGTCTCTAGGAGGGAGTGCTGGGGAGAGCAGCCTTAGGTGAGGCCTGAGAGGGGCCCGTGGGGGCGTTTAAAAGTGACTTCCACTCTGTCCCTTCCCCGGTTATATTAGTAGTTCCTGCTCTTCAGTTGTCGAGCAGTTCCTTCAGCGGACATGGATGGAGCACCAGCTACGCCCTGAGAACTGTAGTAGGCACTAGGGATGGAAGGCTTGGAAAAGTATAAGGATGTGCAAAGTCTCTTAAGGTTTTCCTTCCTCAGATACAACAGTGTTAAGGGTTTTCTGTGTTTCCTTCTAGTCTTTTTTCCACTTGGTGTTAAAGAGGATTTTGCTTTCTTTGTTGTTGTTTGTTTTCTGAGTTAGAGTTTCACTCTTGTTGTCCAGGCTGGAGTGCAGTGGTATAATCTCAGCTCACTGCAACCTCCGCCTCCTGGGTTCAAATGATTCTCTTGCCTCAGCCTCCTGAGTAGCTGGGATTACAGGTGCATGCCACCACACCCAGCTAATTTTTGTATTTTTAGTAGAGACAGGGTTTCACCACATTGGCCACACTGGTCTCAAACTCTTGACCTCAGGTGATCCACCTGCCTCGGCCTCCCACAGCTCTGGGATTACAGGCGTGAGCCACCACGCTCGGCCTTGTTTTGTTTTTTATATGCATTTTTGCAATGACATCTGCAGGTTTAGAGCTTACTTTTCTCCTCTGTATTCGTTGCTACGTCCAGCCTTGAGTGGGTCCTCCCAAGGTGTCTGATGGCTGAGCAGAGGTCTATGGACATCAGTGGGCTCAGACCCCAACTGCAGCCCCCTGCATCCTGCCTGTTCCTGTGGCCACAAGCCTCAGTCCACCCCTCCGTCTGCTCCCCTCCGTCTTCCATCCCTTTCCCCCGCCGGCCTTCCCTTGGCTCCCATCACCCCTCCCTCTGGCCCAGTCTGGGAGGCTCAAGCTCCTGTCACAACCGCCCTCCACCATCAGCCTCCTGAAGCTCGGTGCCCCTCACCCAGGCCCTCCCCAGGGGTCCTGTGCCCCTGAATCCTCATCAGTAGAAGCTGATCACATGCCCCTCACCCCCTCCCTAAGGATCCAGAAATAGGGGATCCTCCTTCCCCAGTGCTGCTTCTGGACCATGGCATCCACATACAAGCACCTGGCTCCTTCACTGCACTCCTACCCTCAGCCCACTGTGTTGCTGTCCCCACCAGCCAGCTGCCCTGGCCAGTCACCTGGGCACAAGGGGCTTGGCTCCTCCCATTTCCCAGCCCATTCTACCCCAAGAACTGCTGTGTCCCAGGTGTTACTGTGTCTGCGTGGCTAACGTCCTGCCCTCTCACCTTGCCCTGTTACCCTGGTCTTAGTTCTCCATCAGCCTTCACTTTCAGCTGCCACAGCTACAGCCTAGGCCCGGAACTTCTCTCTCTGGAGGTCTTCAGCCAAAGGCCCAGTCTCTCTGACCTCCCCTTCCATGCATCTTCCTCACTCCTAACCCTGATGCATACCTGCCCCTACTCCTCATTTTGGCCCTGGCCAGTACCTGTGTACTGTCTCCCCCACCTGCCCACCTTCCTTTGGCATTGGCCTTGGGCCCCATGGTCCATCATATCACCTGTCCCTTGTCAGTGTCATTCATTCATTCATTCAGCAAGCAAGCATTTCTGAGGGCCTTCTGTGTGGCAGGCCCTGACACACTTCCTGTCCACTCAGGGCATGTGTGTCACAGGCAAAAACTAAGCAACTATTCAAATAAAAAGCAGAATGTGGTACTGGGAAGGATAGAAACGGCTCTCCCATGTGGAAGAAAGGGAAGCCTGCCAGGGTAGTTCCTTAGCCAAGTTGTTCCTCTCTCCCCTGCCCCTCTGGCTACAAAGCAAAAGTTTCTGTGAGGATCAGGCAGTTTGTTATGTAGCTGTATGGTTCTCTCAAATACCCTTGGGAGAACTGCTGCCAATGACCCCCAGAACTGACCCCAGGGTTTGCAGTGTGGTTTTAACAGGACCAGGTATTCTGTCTCCTTTGGTGCCCCTCTGCTGTTGCGGTAGTCCAGGCTCCCACTGATTGATTAGCCACCGTCCCACAATTGACTGTGCTTGTGGTCCACTAGACCCTTCAGATTGTTTTCCGTTGTTACACCTTGGCTTGTGTCTCTGTCCTCTTTTCTGTGTGTGGTGTGTTGCGGCAGCGGACTCGCCTCAACTCCCACCCCCACCCCCTCCCTGGCTCCAGCTCCACTCACACACCCCGGTTCTTTCATTTGCCCAATATAATGGCTGAGTTCGTGGTTCCACCCTGGGCCCTGGAGATGCAGACATTTGCCAGCTTCTTCCTCAGCCCCAAGTCTCCTGGGGGAAACTGAGGATTAATTCATGTGGAGCAATTGGTGGGTTTTTAGTAGAAGTGCAGCCTGGTCCTGTGGTGACCATGGTGTGGGGCTGCGGCAGGGCCAGCTGCCAGTGTCATCCAGGTCATTGATGCTCAAAGCACAGTCCCTGGTCCAGCAACATGTCTCCTGGGAGGTGGCTAGGAATGCAGATTCTTAGGCCCACAGAGCCCTGATAAACCAGGAGTTCTGGGAGGGGAGGCCAGCAATCTGTGTGTTAAGTCCTGAGGGTGAGTCTGATGCTCAAGAAATCTTGAGACCCCCGGGTCAGGGTGAGGGATGTGGTAGCCGGGCAGTGATCCGTGGGACTGTAGGGGAAGGTTCCCAGGGTGTTTGGGAAGCAGAATCGACACGCTTTGCTGATTGGGTGTGGAGGAGCAAGGGGAGGCAGGCGTCAGGGGTGGCTTCAAAGTTTGGCTTGGGTGACTTCAGATCTCCAGTCGCTGAGCCCTCTCTGGTCCTGACTTCTCCAACCTGTGTACCTCTAATGAGGAGTGCTCCCTACCACCCTCCCCATCCCTGCACTTACTAAGTATTTCCATCTTCACAAACAAGCCAGCACCCAGCATGGCCCTGGTAGTCAGGGTGGTTGCCACAGCAATTGACATCAGCGACCTGGTCCCCAAGGAGCCTACCACCCTCTTACCTGCCTGCAGCGCCTGCATTATCGCTTCTGCTTCTGCATCGACTGGAGAGGAGGCAGATGGGGACTCCCGCCCCTCACACATGCCCCATTTTGAGAAAAGGGTGGGGCTGGGAAGGGCCAGTGGCAAAGAGGGGAGGAGAAGAGGGAAGGGCAGAAGAGTAGGTGGGGTCCCCCTTTGGTGGCCTTTTCTCTCCACGGCCCCAGGCTCCAGCCCACTTGAGTCCTTGGCGTTGGCGGCGGCAGCAGCACTTGGGCCATGGCGGAGGACGGGCCCCAGCAGCTGCAGCTGGAGATGCCGCTGGTCCTGGACCAGGACCTGACCAGGCAGATGCGGCTACGCATGGAGAGTCTGAAGCAGCGTGGGGAGAAGCGCCAGGACGGGGAGAAGCTGCTGCGGCCAGCAGAGTCCGTGTACCGCCTGGACTTCACCCAGCAGCAGCGGCTGCAGTTTGAGCGCTGGAATGTTGTGCTGGATAAGCCGGGCAAGGTCACCATCACGGGTACCTCGCAGAACTGGACGCCCGACCTCACCAACCTCATGACGCGCCAGCTGCTGGACCCCGCTGCCATCTTCTGGCGCAAGGAGGACTCGGATGCCATGGATTGGAACGAGGCTGATGCCCTGGAATTTGGGGAGCGCCTGTCAGACCTGGCCAAGATCCGAAAGGTCATGTACTTCCTCATCACCTTCGGCGAGGGTGTGGAGCCCGCCAACCTCAAGGCCTCAGTGGTTTTTAACCAGCTCTGATGGCAGCCGCCGGCTGCTGCCCTCCTCTCACCCACTGGCATCCTCCCCTTCCCTGCCTCCTTCCCCCTGTATATTTGGGGCCGTTCTCACTGCTCAGCTTGTCCTCAGCTTGCCCAGAGGCCCCCTAAGTCCCACGCCCTTCCTCCTCTGCTTCTGCCTGGTGTCAGCATTCGGGCTCACAGGAGGAAGATTCCAAGGCTCTGTAGTCTAGAAGCAGGACCAGCCACTGCACTGCTGTAGATGACAGAGGCCTACTCGGGTCCATCGTGCATGGATGGGGAGGCCAGGGCCATCTGCCTTATCTCTGCTTCACTGTGGGAGAGAGAGACTGAGAAAGACCAAGAGAGACACAGAGACAGAGACTGAAAAACCTGGCATCCACTTCCTCTAGGGTCGGGGAGATGGAGGTGACGGGGAAGTCTCCCTGGGGAGTCCAGCAAGCTGGCGCTCACTGCCCCCTGGCCTTGGTGCCCCTTGCTGGAGCCTGTTTCTGGACTGCTGGTCCCATAACACCTTGACAGCCCTCAGGATGTGGGGCAGGGTTGCTGCAGGGGTGGATTCTGGGAGTGGAGAGTGGCTGGCTCCCTGGAGGCTGTGTAGGTCCAGCTCTGGCTATTCTGGGCCTGACTTCAGTGTGGAGAGTGAAGGGGGAGGTTACACAGAGATCTGTCTCTACATACATGTATCCATGAGAGAGAGTGTGCTGTATGCATACGGATATATTCTAGGGGTCTATTTCTGCCCAAGGAACAGGTGTAATTTTAGATTATCTGTTGGTCATTGCTGGTTAAGGGTGGCTCTTAACAGGGGCCTGGTCCTGAGGACCTTGGCCCCGGGGCTTTCTGAGCTAGGAGACAGCAGTTCAGGCAGTGAAACAGGGAGTGGGTTAGTAAAGGGGGTTCCCTTTGCCTGGGGGAATTTGAATGGGAGGGTCCCAGGCCCTGGAGCTGGAGAGAATGGATTCTCTGGGGTCTCAAGTGTCCCTTGCTGGGGAGTCAGGCTATTTTGAGCTTGCAGGTCAGGGAAGGCAAGGACTTCATCCTGATGCAGCATCTGTTGTCATTTCTTGGGCTTCTTCAGTGTAGCAGAGGGGGCAGGGGGAAGGCGTGGGCAGTTTCGATGTCTGATGGTCAGAAGCGGGCTGCAGGCAGCAGATGGAAGATGAGATCATTGGGTGCAATTCACTCACCAAAAAATGGGGAAACTGAGGCACAATTTTCCTCAGATTCAGCTCTGGCTCTGAGAATCATTCCTCTTCACATTGCACAGGCCCAGAGAGCCCCCGTTTTCAGGGAGTGCCCGACCTGCACCTAACATCAGCCAGGTACAGCTAAGCCACTGTCCCCAGGACCCTGACTTAAGACCAGCCATGTGTTTTGTCCTCACACAGTCAGGGATGTGCCCAAGACATTTCCCCTCATGAAGCAGAGCTGTCAAGTAACTTGGGGTCCTGGAACAGATGTACTGAGGGTGGGAGGGTCAGGGCTGCCTGCTGCGGCTGGGGCTGCTGGAGGGAGGAATGCAGGCTGGAGCGGCATGCTGGAGCTGAGATTCTGTGGGTGGGAGAGTAGGAGAGTGGCTGTGGGCTGAGTGCTGGTCCTTTCTCACTCAGCTCTGTTCTGGGACAGGCTTGAAGAAGTCCCGGCTGACCATGCAGGGAGGCCAGGCGCGTGTGCAGTGGCCCTGCCCTTCTGCCTCTTTGCTTGAGCTCGCCCTGCAGCTCTGGGACCCTCTTAGTCCCGACCGCTCATCTCCCCAGCCCATCTGTCCCAGAGCCTGAGTGCCTCTGTTGTGCCCACCGCAGGTCCCCAATAAAGCCTGTGCCCTGGCCTCGGTGGTGTGCAGTCTCTCGCCATCAGCCCCGCTCCCCTTTAGAAGCCCTCCCAGCCCCAGGCACCCGTTCCCTAGCCATTTCCCACAGCCCCCAGCCCCTGCCAGCTTTCAAGGAGGAGGCCTGTAATAATCAGGGCCTTCACTGAATCTCCTGAGGCCACCCAGGAGCCACCCACCCTGACTGTTTCTCTTGTAGCCTCGGAGCTGCCTCCGTGTGGGGCGTGGAGAGAGCTGTGCTGAGGAGGTGCTATCTGGGCACTGCCATCGAGGGGTTGGGGTAGGAAGGCACTGAACTGGGTGCTGTCGTGAGTCTCCCTGCCTTGCAGGGCCACCGGGCAGGAGGTGGGCGGAAGGGCAGGGTCTTGAGGGTTGGGGTGGGGTCAGGTCTGTGCCAGCCTTTAGTCTGGCCTCTGTCACAGATGTGCTGTGCATCCTTAGGTAGCTCCTAACCCCCTCGCAGCCTTAGACCTTCCAGAATGAACAGCCTGGTTCTGTGACGGCCCTTCAAGCCCTGCCCTCTGGGAATTATCAAAACCCATGCCGTGCTAGACTGACGTGGGCAAGATGTAGCCCCAAGGCAGCGTGACGTCAGCGCCTCACTTGATCCTTCTGCACAGCTCTGTTCCCTCAGCACCGTTCTCAGACTGACTCATTTTTGGACAGAGACAACTGAGGTCCAGAGGAAGAGGCCTCCTGCACAGGTCACAGAGGGCATGGGAACAGGTGTGGTTGGGCCAGGCTCTGGGCCTGTGGACCTTTGGCCCCATGACACTGGGCCCTGAGATGTACCGGGGAGATGGGCCCCACCCACCTGAGGCTTGGGCTGGGCCAGTCCCTTCCTGGAGACCAAGTCAAGCCCTGCCTTGGGGGCTTCACCGGTGGTTTTGTTTGGGAGGGAGCCCTGCTTCAAAATCCCACCTTGCGACTTTCAGGTCCTACAGCCCCTTTCATCCTCCCCTCAGAGTAACTGCTGCCCACCCCCCACCCAGTTTCCCTTTACACACCCCTCACAGCATTCGCAGAATGCTTCCCCAGCCCTGTACCCCACCCCCCATCTCTCAGGGTTCTCTGCTGCCCTGACACCCCCTCCACAAGCTTGCCTTCCAGCCACTCTTGGAGGTGCCCGAGACAGAAGAATCCAGCCTCCCACCCTCGGGACAGCAGCAGAGGCCTGGCTGTACCCCCAGAGTACAGGGAATAACAAATGACCTATTTTCCCTGGAAACCACGAGAAACCACAGGGAAAGAGACTTCTTTCCTAGAGCTCTGTGTCCAGAGAGAGAGCCAGTGCAGGGAGCAACCTAGCCCGTCCCACCCTGCCAGCTGGATGGCCCTGGGTGACCTCTGAGGTTGTTCCTCATCTGTGCATTGGGGCCGGTGATGGCACGTCCCTTGAGGCTGTTGTGCGGGTGAAATGGGCGAATGTCCACAAAGTGCTCGAGCTTCCCGGAGCCCTCACATGGTCACTGTCCCTTCGAGTTTGCCCGTGATTACTGCCCATCACCATAGACACACGGTCTCACCTCAGTTACCCCTCGGGTGAAGGTGCAGGAGAACCTGTGGAGAGCTGAAGTGAGTTGCCTGAGGCATCACAGACCAGTGCCGATGGTGGCAGGTGCTGGGCGGAAGGGTGGGCAGGAGCTGGCCTGGCTCTGTGGTCCAAGAGAGTGGCCATGGGGACGTGTGTCCTCCTCCACCACCATCACCACCCCAGAGCAGCCCAGCTGAGGGCACCATTAGCCTTTACATTATGGCTGCGGATCTGGAGGTCCGGGGGAGGGCAGCTGCCTCAAGGCTGGGGGTCTCTGCCCAGGTCTCAGCCGCCCCATGAGCAGGACTTGCTGTGGCCACTCTCAGGTGTGTCGATATCCTGGTCTCCAGTGGAGAGTAGCAGAGCTCTGCTCTTCCAAGAAGGCAGGGGTGCTCACCACTTCCCTGGCCTCTTGCAGTTATGGCATCTGTAATTCGGGGAGTTTGAGAGTCTTGGAATCAGAAGCTGAGAGGTGAGGAATCTAATAGAACCAGGAACCCACTAGTTTTGAGGACTCACAAAGGCCCGTGGCTCACCTCACGAGCTTGGGTTACACAGGAAACCTCCCTGTAGCCCCCATTCCACAGCCCTGCTGGCGTGGCTCAGAAACGCCCTGCGCTGGCCCTCTGGGGTCCCAGGCAGAAATGTGAAGAGCCCCTCCCTATGCCCCGAGTCTACACACACCTCCACACATGCACACCTTTGCAGGCAGGTCCTGCAGCTTCCCTCTCTGGGCTCCTGACCCCCACCTTCTCTCGTGTCACACAGCTGGGCAGAGTCCTGTCTGCCGCTACCCTGGGAGGATTTGAGTGCAGCCGCATGGTCTAGGTGGGAGTCTCCAGGGAAGACCCAGGAGCCAGAGGTGCTGAGCTTTCTGGGCCTGTCCTGCAGTGGGTGGCCATTAGTGAATCACATCCTAGGAGGTTATGAGGGAGGGTGCAGGTCCCACCTGTCCTTATCTCGCTGCCAGGTCCTCCCAAGTCAGAAAGCCTCAAGCACTCGGGGTGGTGGGGAGCTTCTCCTTTCTCCTCTTGGGAAGAAGGTTGAGCAGGACCTCTCAGCTCCCTCCCAGCCCTGAGGTTTTCAGATTGTGTGAAGGCATACATGTGTACACCAACACAGATGACCCCTCATGTGTGCACAGCTCTCTACAGTTTATGAAAGAGCTCAAGGCTGTCTCCTTTAGTTCTAGCAGTCCAGGAGGTGGTGTGGGTAGGTGAGGAGACTGAGACTCAGAGGCGGCCCAGTGTTCAGTAATGCGGTATTAAGTAGTGTGTCCAGGGCAGCAGCCTGTTAGGGCCACACCAACCAGTGTGGGGGGTTTTCCTCCCAAGAAGACTCCAGCCAGCTTCAGAGCTGGGCCAGGCCCTGGGCTTGGTGCTGGAGATCTGGGGATGAGTCAGACTTGGCCCCTGTCCCCAGGGAGCACTTACCAGCGGGCAGGGAAAAGAGAGCCATGCTGGGGCGCCAGTGCTAGGAATGGGGGGCGGGGGAGGGGTGGCTCGGCAGGAGGGCCCTCGAAGCTGCTGCTGAGCTGGCCTCTAAGAGGCAAGGGAAGGAGGCAGAGGGAGCCACAGAGGGAGCCAGAGAGGTGACTTGAAGTGGTACAGGTGTTTGGTGGTCATGGTAGATGGGACCCAAAGGAGGGAGTGTTTGAGAGATGAGGCTGAGATTGAGGACTGCAGAGCCAAATGGCTGGTGTCCATGGTGATGGGGAATTTCTACTGTAGACAGCGAGAAGCTAGAGAGCACAGCCTGATGGTCTCCTTGCACTCAGCCCGTGGCTAGTAGTATTTCCTCTACACTCCCCTGCACTTCCTCAGGCAGCATCTCATTTCATCTGTAAATATTTCTGGATGCATCTCTAAAAGATAAGGACTCAGAAAAAAAGTATCCATAATACCAACATTCAACTCAATTCTTTAAAAATAATCCCTTCATATAAAATATCCAGTAATTGTTCTAATTTCTAATGTGTGCGATAAATATGCATAGGTTTTACAGTTTGTTTGAATGAGATCCAAACAGAAGTCCATAATTGCAATTGGTTGATTGCTCTTTCATCTTTTATTTTTTCCTAGTAATTTATCTATCAAAGAAACTGGGCCGTTTGTCCTGTGGGGTTTCCCATGGTGTGGATCTTGTGACTACGTCTTCATGGTGGCATTTAACATGTCTCTGTCCCCTGCATTTCCTGTATCCTGGGAATTAGCTCAAGAGTCTAGAGGCTTGAGCTCATGATTCAGCCTCCTGAGTGGCTGGGATTACAGGTATGCGACACCACATCCAGCTAATTTTTGTCTTCTTTTTTAGTAGAGACAGAGTTTTACCATGTTGGCCAATTTAGGTTTAGGAACAATTTTTTTTTGGTCACAGCTGTATCATGGAAAATGTTGTGTACTTCATTCAGGGGGCACCTCGTGGCTGGCTATCTTTCTTTTTTGTGAGGTTGGGAACCTTCGGTGACCACTGCCTAAATGCGTTCATTCTTCAGTGGTTGTAAAATGTCATCATTCCTTTCTATTTACGAGCTAGAATTCTTTTCCAGTTCAAGACTTCCCTCTATCTACTATTTGGTTACCCATCTGAAACAGTTTGTCTGCAAAGACAGGATACATTTCCTGTAATTTTCCAGTTTTAAAAAAATGAGTTGATTCCCTATCCTCCTCCGATAATTGTTCTTGCATCATTCTGATCTCATGAATTTGAACATACTGGATGTGTTTTAATCCATTGACATTATTGCCCTTATTGATGCTCAAATTAGCCCATCTTTGGACAGCAGGAAACTCTTGAATCTTTTGACGTGGCCCCAGGAGTCTATGCTGGCTTCCTTGACTTCCAGCATGGCGTGGGAGGTTTTTGGTGTGTGTGCACATGTGAGCACACCTGTATGGATGGTCTCCCTCCCGCTCAGAATCCTGGCTGACAGCAGAGCAGCTGAGGGGTGAGAAGGCTGGCCTGGGGCCCACCCCGTGCCAAGTGCAGGGGCTGTGATGCAGGAGGGGAAATGGAGGCCCTCAGGGATTCCAGACTCTGCATCTCCAGGCCCTGGAGCCTCATTAGCAGTTCCTTGAGCCACAGAGGACTCAGGGCCAAGCCTCAAGTTTGACTAATGATCCTCCTGAGGTCCTGGCAGCCTGTGAGGGCTGCCTTTCCGCCCAGCCATGCAGTCCAGAGCATTCAGAGCAGGGCAGGAGCAGGAAAACGGGGGTGAAGGCAGTGGGCCAGGCCTGTGTTCTCAGCTTAGGACCCCCTGTCACTCTGTGCTTTTGGGCAGATCTTGCTTCTTTCCTGGATCTCAGCCTTTCCATCTGCTCGGTGGGAATGGTAACCCCCACGCTGTATTGAACTCCTCTTTTTTTATGAGGAGAGAGTCTTGCTCTGTTGCCCAGCTCACTGCAACCTCCACCACCCAGATTCATGACACAGTCTCCTGAGTGTCTGGGATTATAGGCATGCGCCA